AACATAAGATTGATTGAAGTCAATGAAATAACAGGAGATAGTGCAAACAACATAAAAAATCTGTTCACAGAAGTAATGACAGAAAACGTCCCAAGCATTGAAAAACAATTTGACATACAGATAAGTGAGGCATATAGAACTCTAAATAGCCATGATCAAAAAAATCTACCCCAAGACATATAATAGTCAGGATTCCAGAAATTTAATACAAGAACAGAACATTAAAAACTGTTAGAAAAAAGAAACAAAACACTTATAAAGAAAAGCCCATCAGAATTACAACAGACTTCTCAACACAAACTCTTATTTCAAGCCCTAAAAGAAAACAATCTCCAACCCAGATTGATGTACCCTGCAAAACTATCTTATACTTCTAAGACAAAGAACACCTGAAGAAATTTATAACCACCAAGCCAGCACTCCAAAATGTTCTGAAGGACATTCTAGGAAGAGATAATGAAGGTTTCAACTCCATGAACCTCAAGAGAATGAATCAACAAGGCAAGTAATTAAACAGAGGGAAAAGAAAGGGAACCAACAACAGGAAAATAACAAGGCTAAATTAATATGTATTAGTTATAACTATTAATGTAAATGGCCTTAATTTACCAAACAGATTAGCAAAATAGATCAAAAAACAAGATCTAACAATATGTTGCATATAAGAAACACATTTAACTAAAAAAGAAATCCATAGAAAGTCAAAGGATGAAAAACAATACTGCATGCAACAGGAACCTGGAAAAAGGCAGGGGCAGCTATTTTATTTGAAGAAAATGTGGATTTCAAGCCAAGATGTATCAAGAGAGACAAAGAAGCTCACCACATCCTTATGAAGGGAAAAATCCAAGAGGAAGAGATAACAATCATAAATATACATGTACCCAAATATAAAACAAATATTAGCAGACATGAAAAAATAAAAAAAGCGGCAACATAAAAGTAGTGGGAGACCTCAATACACAACTGTTATAAGTAGATTAACTAGACAAGAAAATCAACAAAGAAATATCAAAACAACCAAATTTTTGAACAAATGGACTTAATAGACATCTAGAGAATGTTCCAGCTCACAATGTCAGAATATATTTGCTTCTTACCTCACAAGGGACGTACTCGAAAACAGACCACATATGAGCTCATAGAAAATGTGTAAGTAAATACCAAGGGCTTGAAATTACCCCATGTATATTACCAGATCACAATGCAATGAAATTGAAAATCAATGGTAAAAGAAACCACAAAAATTGTATAACCACATGGAAATTAAATAACACCTTCCTGAAAAACCAATGGGTCACAGATGAAATTAAAAAAGAAATTAGGTAGTTTCTACAATTAAATGATAATGCCAACTCAACATACCAGATCTAATGGGACACAATGAAAGCAGTCCTACACGGGAAATTTATAGTGGTAAATTTTCACATCAGAAAAACAGAATGAGCTCCAATAAATAACCTAATGCTGAACCTTGAGCTTCTAGAAAAAGAACAGCAAGTCAAGCACAAAGCTCATATGAGGGAGGCAATTATAAAGATTAGAGCAGAAATTAATGCAATTGAGGCTAAGAAATCAATATAAAGAATCAATGAATAGAACAGTTGGTTCTTTGAAATAGTAAGTGGAATTGACAAACCCTTAACCAAACTTATAAAAAAAAAATAAAAAAAGAAACAAAAGACTTAAATTCATACAATTAGGAATGACAAGGGTGAAATCACAATGAATCATGTAGAAATCCAGAAGATCATCAATGCCTCTTTTGAGAGCCTGTATTCTAATAAGATGGAAAACACAAAAGAAATAGACAGATTCCTAGTTACATATGAATTACCAAAGCTGGATCAGAAGATATAAATATTCTAAATAACTCAGTGTCAGTCAGTGAAATTGAAGATGAAATTAAAAGCCTAACAACAATGAAAAGCCCAAGTTCATAAGTATCCACTGTTGAATTCTACAAGAAATTTAGAGAAGATCTGATGCCACTACACCTCAAAGTCTTTAATGAAACTGAAAGGGAAGTAATACTCCCAAAATCATTCCTAGAAGCAAGCATTACTCTAATACCAAAACCAGAAACAGATCCAACCAGAAAAAGAGAAATACAGGCCAATCTCCCCAATGAACACAGGTGCCAAAATCCTCAAAAAGACATCGACAAACAGAATGCAGTGAATCATCAAGATTATACAGCATGACAAAGAAGGATTCATCCCAGGAATGCAAGGATGATTCAACATATGCAAATCAATAAATGTAATAAACCATATTAACAGAGCCAAGGACAAAAATCACATGATCATCTCAGTAGATGTAGAAAAGCATTTCACAAAGTCCAACCTTCATGATAAAGTCCAAAGTTCAAAGTTCAAAGTCCAAATTCCAAAGTTCATGATAAAAATTGTACAGAAAATTGGAATGGATGGTCTTTATCTCAATCTGAGAAAAACTCTGTATGACAAAGCAACAGCCAAAATCATACTGAATGGTCAAAAACTGACAGTTCTCTCTCTAACATCAGGAACAAGACAAGGATGTCTATTATTACTACTTTTATTCAATATAATTCTGGAAACATGAACTAGCACAATTAGACAAGAGAAAGAAAGAAAAGAAATGAAGATAGGAAAGGAAGAAGCTAAATTATAACTATTTGTAGATGCTCTACATAGAAGATCCCAAAGTCCCCACCAGAAGACTCCTAGCTTTAATAACCAAATTCAGTCACATAGCTGGATACAAAGTCAACACTCAAAAATCAATAACATTCCTATACACGAATAATAAACTCACTGAGAGAGATATTAGGAAACCACACCATTCACAATAGCATTGAAAAACATGAAATACTTAGGAGTCCATCTAATAAAATAAGTAAAAGACCTTTATATTGAAAACTACAGTAATCTGAAAAATGAGATTGAAGACGATATCAGAAAATGGAAAGATATCCTTTCTTCTTGTGTAGGAAGAAACAATAGAGTGAAAATGGACATACTTCCAAAACTGTTATACAAATTTAATGCAATCCTTACCAAAATACCAATAGCACACCTCACAGAACTAGAGAAAATAATCCTACAATAATTCATTAGGAACCAGAAGAGACCTAGAATAGCCAAAGCAATACTGGACAAAACAAACAACAACAACAACAAAACAACAACAACAAAAAAAACAAGGCAGTGGGCATTACAATCTCTGATTTGACATTATACTATAAAGCCTCAGTGACAAAAACAGTATATGGTACAGGCGAGAAAACAGACCAAAGGATCAATGGAATAGATTAGAAGTTGCAGAAACAACTATGAACACACTGGGCAACCTTATCTTTGACAAAGGAGCCAAACATGTTCACTGGAATAAAGATGGCCTTTCTAATAAATGGTGCTGGAAAAACTATCTTTCTACATGCCAAAGACTAAAACTAGACCCATATCTCTCCCCATGTACTAAACTAAAATAGAAATGGATCAGAGATCTAAATATTAAAACAGAAACACTAAATGTACAGGAAAAGGGAATAGGCAGAACTCCCAAATCAAAAGTGTTGGCAAAGACTTTATGGACAAAACTTCAATCACACAGGAAATATCACAAAGAAACAACAAGTGGGATCTTATATATTAAAAAAGCTTTTGCAGAGCAAATGAAACCAGCAACAAAGTGAAACGACAACCCACAGAGTGAGAAAAATTTTTTGCCAGCTGTACCTGAGACAAAGAACTAATATCTAGAATAAAGAAGTTAAAATATTATTCCCCCAAATTTAAATATCCAATCAAAAAATGGGCCCCTGCAGTGAATAGACATTTCTCAGATGAAGAAGTAGAAATGGTAAATGAATATATAAAAAAAATGTTCAACATCACTGGTTATTCAAGAAGTGATAATTAAAACAATGCTGAGATTCCATCTCACTCCAGAAAGAATGACTATTATCAAGAAATCAAGCAACAACAAATGCTGGCATGGCTGTGGAGAAAAAGCAACTGTTCTCCATTGTTGGTGGGTATGCAGACTGGTGCAATCACTGTGGAAATGAGTGTGAGATTCCTCAAAAAATTCAAAGTAGACATTGTGTTTGACCCAGCTATCTCCTTTCTTGGAATCTTCCTGAAAGAATTAAAGGCATCCTACCACAGCAATATATGCACAACCATATTTATAGCAGCACTGAGAGAGAAATTAAGAAACCACATCTTTCACAATAGCATTGAAAAAAATGAAATACTTAGGAATCCATCTAACAAAAGTAAAAGATCTTTACATTGAAAACTATAGTAATCTGAAAAATGAGATTTTAATAGTTTAATCTTGGAAACAGCCCAAATGCCCATCAACTGCTGAATGGATTAAGATGTGTGTTTTTTCATACAATATAGTACTACTCATCCATTAAGAAATAAATGTGAGACATTTCTAGGTAAATGGATCCACTTTGAGACCATGCTATTAAGTAAAATAAATTGGGCACATGTGTTCAAACATCACATGATTTCTCAGGTGTGAGAAACCTAAAGTGTAAATAAGGACAAAAATGTATAATAGATATTGTAAAATAGGAAGAAGAAGTTCCAATGGGAAAGGAACAAGGGAGGGGGGGGAGAGAGAAAGGATGGAAGGGAAAAGGAAAACAGAATAGAAAGGAAAATGGAAATAATAGTTTTGTAAATAACGAGGGGAAGAGGGGCTGAAAGGAGGGGAGGAAGGGGAAAAGAAGAGAATCAAGATTTATCATGTAGAGGCCCAAATCCCATATGATGAATGTTATCATTATGCATATCTAAAATGTAACAATAAAATTAATTTTACAAATAAATAGTTATATAGGGATGTGGATAAAGACTAGAAAAAATGAAAAAAATGCAAATCCCAGTTATATTGTAGATGAGAAATTTAGTGAAAGTTTTATATGCATTAGACACCCAAACAAGAAACAAAATATATATGAATATATATATATATAGTTTAAATTATATAGATGAACAGATAGAAAAATAAAGTAATTCATCAGGCACCTTAAATTATTTAAAAGTTTAATTCCAGTGTTGTTATCAACTCCAACTTCAAATCTTGAAGTATATTTGCTGCCCCACGCTGCCTACTAGAGACATTATTAACAAAATGTACTTGAGGCAGAAAGAAAATTATCCAAAGAACATATTATAAAGTAAGAAAATAGAAAACAAATGGGTAAATCTAATAAAATCCAATGAAAACAAATTAGATATTTAAATTCATTAATTAAAAAAGAATGCTGAATAGTAGTATATGGTTTGAGAGATAAATGGGAATCAAACTAATCAGTTCCTTGTGTGATTTGAAAGGAGGTGTGAAGTACTGACTGTGCACATTGTTAAGCATAATACACGTAGGCTCAGATTTATTGCCCCAAAGAAACTTCAGATTATTTGCATTAGAAATAATTTTTGGCAGTATTTCTGATGATTATATTAATGAACAAAATTTAATTAAGTTATTATCCAATAAAGTATTTAGGATAATTATATTAAATATAAGTTACAATATATTAAAAGAATAAAACTAAGTCATTAAGGTAAAAAAATGTGAAAGATAGAAATACAAGAAACATCACTGAAAGGAAATACAGCTACATAGAGATATGTACAGGACAGTGAATTCAATGTCATAAATATATTGACACCTTTCCAAATAATAGATTAATTCAATTTATGTGAAGGAAAATAAGGTCAAGGGAAGGTAAATGACCCCCCCAACTTCCCAGAAGAAACAGAGAGCAAGGGACCCTGCATGAGTACTGGGACACTCAGTTGAAAGCTATGACCATTAAGTTAGCATCATATGTGTTTGCAGAAAGAAAACAGAGCCCAGAGAGCTGAGAAATACAAATATATAAAGCCTGCATTGGTTTTCATATCTGCAGGGAAAGAAAAGATTATTCAGTCTGTTAACTGATGTATTCATTGGCCATGAGGCAGAAAAAGGAAACCTAAAAGTCTCTATAAACCACACATAAAATCTTTTCCTTCTAAATTATAGTGGAAGGAAAAACAGTAACATTATTAAAATACATTTTGGGAGATTTTCATGACCTCAGAATAGGAAGTTATCCTTTATAAAAAAAATCATATTCTGTAAAAGGAAAACTGAAAACTTCCACCAAATTTAAATAACAACCTCTATTCACCAAACTCCATAAAAGAGAGTGAAAATACCACCACAGAGCAGTGGGTGATTTTAAAAATAAATGTAAATGACTAAATGTTAGAGCCCAGAAATGCAAACTATGAAGAACTCAGCAGAAAAGAACCCAGTGGGCATTTCTCAGAAGAGGAACAGCAACAGCCAATAAATTCATGAAAATATAACACATCTCTTTAGTAATAGAAAAATGCAAATGAAAATCACAATACAATTTGATTTCGTATTTGATTAGTTGGCAAGGATGTGCAGTAATAAAGACTATAATAATACAGTATGTACTTTAGGGTATAAGTATAATTTATTTCAAAAAGTTGAACATTTTTACTTCCTATGACTCAGCATCAGCCAGAAGGCAAAAGGACTTTACATAGGAAAACTGAGAGCCTGTCCCAATACTTACACAAATCTAAATGGGTTTTAAAATTCTGTTATATTCATCAGAGGAGATGAACGAGTTACTGTAACATGCCTCAACATGATTCAATTCTAAAATTAAGAATGTGAAGGTCAGGGATTTAGCTCAGTGGTTCTGCCATTTGCCTTGAAAGTTCAAGGTCCCGAGTTTGATCTCCGGTACCAAAAAAAAAAAAAGTTAATCAAGCCCATTAAAATAATCCAAATGCTTATAAAAAAGAATATGAAAATACTAAGTCTCTTTTTATAAGATTCAAACAATTGTTTGTGTATCAGTAATTACCTATATATGTAAAAGCAAAAACAGAACTAGGTGGTGATTATCATTCAATTCAGGATATTATATTTGAGGGAAATAACAGGAAATACAAATGCAAAGGGATGCAAAGTGGGTTTTAGATTTGTAATGTTACATTTTTAAATCTGTGTGTTTTATGTGCATTTTATGAGTACTAAGTGCTTTAATTTATATACCTACATTACAAAGCTTTATATGTACGAAACTTTTCATAGTAATAAAGAATCACGAAAGCAACTAAGCTAATGAGACTATTACATTTTTAATTTTTGGAAAATTGCCTTTGATTATATATTACTTTTATACTAAATGCAGAGAAACTGACTCATTTATATGAGTTTTTTCTCAGTACAAAGGCCCTGGGTTCAATCCCCAGTACTGAAAAGACAAAAATAAAAATAGGTCCAGGGTTTCTCCAAGCAGGAAGTGAGGGATGGGGTGGGGGCAGATGGAGCAGGAAATCATGCTTATCCGTGAAGGGCCAGTCCCAGAGTGAAAGCAGAAGCAAACCAACAAAAATACCTCTCGGCCTGTCACAGGTGCCAGTCAGCAAGGTCCCTTACATCTGTTTCACTCAGATCCCGCTCTCGCCTAAAGGTAATGCGCTTCCGAAATCACAGCCTGCGCCGCCAGGATCGGCTCAGTCTCTGCTCTGATGAACAGCCTGGGGTGCAGGTGAGCCTGGAACAGGGGACTCTCCACAGTGCATGAAGCACTGCTTCTATCTTTCTAAAGAACTGTGTCATGATTCTGACACGCCATTAAAATCAGTCTTGCAACAGCCATAAAATGCAAACGAGCATTTTCATCTTCATAATTATTTGATTCTCCTGACCCATAATAGCCATATATTACCTTATTTCTGAAAGTGAACTATCACATTTGGTTATAACTGTCCAACTTTAAATTTAATAATTACTTTATTATATTTATTTATTTACTTATCACTTTTTATTATTTGCTGCACAGTTCTGATTTTCCCGATGATATTCCGTGAAGTTGGGGTAGTGAGATTCAGGGGTATTTTCCTCAGATTTAAAAAAACTGCTAGAGATGAGAACATTATTTATCTGTTTATACATATGGACTATCCTAAAGCAGAAGTAGTTGACAAATAAATGACCAACTAGAAAGATTAGGCTTCGCAACATCTTCCAATCACTCACTTCATGGCCTCCAAAACATTACCTTGAAATTCAGTTGTTCCTTCTCTGCCTTACTGATTGCCGAAGCCTCTAAGTGGCCTTAATGTCAAATCTAGGGTGCTAAATTTTATAAAAAGATCAATTTCTACAACATTTTTACTGCCAAATACATTTTTTAAAGGATGTGTTAAATTGGAGTCTGTCTAAAACATGATGGCTAGCAGGTTCTTTCAGGAGAAAACAAGTAGTGCACTTGTGTGAATATTTATCTGACAGTAGCTTACAATACTAGATTATTACAAATGGCAGGACATGGTACTACCAGTGAGGTAACACAGGAGAATTCATCATCAGAAGTAGGTGGCTTTATAGAATATTGCAATTACTGTACCTACATTCTTGTAAAAAATATGGGGACCCAGGCTCATTTATCATTCAGCAAGACACCTGCACAGTGCCTCCACCACCTAGACTTTCAGAGTGCTGTGGAAAATGAGCTTTTCTTCTTCAATGGTATTCAGCTGTTGCAGTGAGTGATCTGGCAGTTTGCTTCATAACATATGTATATTTAAATTTAAAAGGTGAAGGGGTTTAACAAGAAAATAATTGTATATAAACTGCCAACTCTGGGATCTCACAGAGTAAATCCCACATGGTTTTAGATGATGCTTTGTCCCACTTGGGCATGTAGCCTCTATCAGAAGAGGAGAAAGTGGCCTCAGGTAACTCACCAGGTCAAAATTTCAGGGGCTTCCTTTTGCCATCATTGCATGAATATATTCCTTGTAAATTTGATTATGACAAGTGTCATGAGATCAAAATACACACAAGAGATCAGGGATTGGTCAAACATGCCCTACAGGAAATTCTCTGGAGATTTAGGAAGAGGCCTCAGCAATCAGGAAGTCATGGTTTTTCTTCTCTGCCTTACCCACAGTGCACTTTCTCCGTGAGTCAGCCTGGGTCTTTCCCTCAGAGTCTGCCACCTGTATAGGCCTGCGCTGCCCCTGGAAGCTGCAGAGCTTCTGCCAACTGAGAAGTAATGCACGGCAAATGATAAAGTAAAACTTCCTTGAAAAACACCTGCTCCTCACTGTTATGCACCTGGAGCAGGGGCTAAGGTTGCCTTGGGAGATAGGAGCTGCTGAAAAATAGTGTAAAAACAAGTTTGGTACCTTTATATTACACTTAAAATATCTCTTCAGAAAATAATTCAAACATTTGGCTGAAAATAAATCTTTATTCATTATATGATGACATCATATTCTATTTATAGTAAATGAGAATTATTATTTTATTAATTCTTTTAAAAATCTCCTTTGAAGGTTATGTTTTTATAAATAATTATCCTGCTTTGTAAAGTGAAACTTTCATTGTGATAAGGATGAATTGAGAAACATGATTTATATCAAAGAAACATTTGATAAAGATAATATTATTGAGTAGGATTTTATTTTTTGATTATCTCAAATGGCTTGCACAATGACCAAAATGCTAAAATTAATTCAAGAGTTTGGTCCAATTAATTACTACAGCTTCCATAGTCCTTCCCATTGTTTTCTCTTTTCTTGTCCGCACTTATTTAGACCATTCCATAGACTTCCTGTGGCTTTCTCCCCAGGTATCTACTGGTTCTGATGCCTGGTGACCTACACAGCCACATTAATCTTCCTTTAAAAATCTTTTCTCAAATGTCTTACAAACATTCAGCCAGTCCCCGCTAATAACCAACTTAATTATGAAACCCTTCCAGGCATTTTTCTCAATGACTGCTTTGATTACTACTCAATCTCTCCCTGCTTTCACATCTAAGATGGTGACAGCATTTAATCTCCACAGGCACCATGAAGAGTTGCATCCATGTGCCAAGCATTCAGCCAAGCACTGGCCATGTATCGAGTACTACAGTGTCTGGCCTAGAGGCCCCGAGAACTTCATTCTTGGCATCAAGCTGATAAATCCCAGCCTTGCGAGGTTACTGGAGAGCTTGACTCTGGGAATGTTACTCACCTTCTTTAAACCTCAGTTTCCCCAACTGTCAATTGATAACAATACCAATATAATAGGATTGTTGTAAAACTAAATGGTCAAAATAAGGAACTGCAAGGTGTTCGGATCATAGTAAGTGCTCAATTACACGTTTTGCTTGGATTACAGTGTCATTATTGTTATCAGTCTTGTTTTGGTTGCTACTTTCAATATTCTAAACTTCTAAAGAATTTGAATGTATATCTAACTGCCCTAGACCTTTTTTGTGCTGAGTATTAAAATGTAGAAGATTACTGACTGCTTTCCCCTGCAGTCCTGTATTTTTAGTCTAGCACTGGACTTAATCAGTTCACCCTAAGTGGGAGAAAAACAACTTAAAAGCATTACAGATGTGTATAGTTTAATGGAATTTCCAGATGGCTTCATAACTACTATATACACAGTTAATAAGGGAGATAAAGAAAACATCAGCATAAATCTATTGATGCATCTGCAGTATCCCTTACAAATTATTCTCTGCTCCATACCTGTGAGCAGTTGTTTGTTTTTGCAGCAGGGTCTTACCTGTTGCCCTTTTAAAGCCATAGTCTTTGCCTTTTATATTTTTATATCCAATAAAGTGTTAACTTTGAAAATAAACCTGCCAGAGTCTGCCACCAGGTTATGTGACTGATCATTGATCTAATTCTTTGAACCTAAAACTCCTTAATGGAAAAACAAGGATTTACTCTTACCTTTATTATTGTTGTGTAATGATGTATGTAAAGTCCTTAACATAGAATAGGTATATAATAAGACTGGCTACCTTTTTCGTACTATGTTGTCTCTGCTGGTGGAAATTACCATAATGTAGAATGGATATTAAATTAAATTGAATCTGAGAGCACAATGTATTTTAATATACTAAGAACTATAAAGCTGGTACTAACTATAGTCACTGTATAAATTTAGAGGTTTTCTCTCTTGTTTCTTCTTTTTTTATTCTTGGACAAAATCTCATTCAGAAATGAAAGATATTACTTAATAGCAAGCAAGCTCATAAAAGTAAAATACTTCCTTTCATCTGCTCATATTATTAGACATACAAAAGTAAGAAGTTTGAAGTTCATCTTTTACACCAGAAGGAGAGGTTGATGCTTTTAACAAAGAAGTGACTCGATGCAGTTAGCATTTTAAGGAAACAAATACGAATTTAACATTTGAGACAAGACAAAGAAAGAGGAAAAGATGACTTAGATTTCTGAAGCTCACCTACATGGAAGTAGGCAAATCAGGAGGAATCCTAACTTGGGAAATCCTAAATTGGGCCTAGGTTCAGATGTATGAGTGTGAAGAGGAGAGGTATTTTCAGAACAGAAAAGTCCACATGTAATGGGGGACTCTGAAACAAAGATGTCAATAGAAAAAGATTTAAAAGGTTTTGGAGATGAAAGCTGAAATCGTAGTGGAGGGGATTTAAATTGTAGTAGATTTAGTTTAAGGTAATATTCACTGTCTTAATTTATATATGAAAATTATTGTTTTCTATCATATAAATCTGAAGACTGTATTTTGGTATGTAAAAGAAAATCTCATAGAAGTTCTTGACATGAAGTGAAATATATTTTTTCTTCGTTATATTCAGAGCTCTGTGTGTGTTTAATTCTGTTCTCTAGCAGATACATTGCTTAGAATTCAAGCCTTTGAAATACAAAACCAAAGTGATACACTTGACAGTTGGTTCCTCCTAATGAGTAATGAGCCAGTTTTTTCTTTTAATGTACTAAAGCCCCCCCAATACCTTCTAAAACCTTTTCCAGCCTACCTCGGGGTATACTTGCTGTCTTCCAGTGTGTTTTATTCCTGTCTGCACAATGGTAATTCCTTATTCTGGTGCAATCTTTGAAGGGAGGGAGGGATGTGGTACATGTGGGGGAAGGATGCTCTTACATGATTTGTTTAGTTTTTTCAACATTAAATTAGCACCTGGATAAGACCTTTCATGACATTTGTAAGTGCACAGTGGCCATCTACATTCAAGAGATCGGCCTAAGTGGTGGAGAGGGATTGATGAGGTCCATTAGAATATGTTCTGCTCTCAACAGATGGGTGACACTTGAAGCCCTTGGAAAGAGACTGCGAAGAAGATCCACATCATGGTGGTCAGAGGACTAGGAGTTCTGAATCACAAACACCATTAGCTCTGTACTACAAAGGTCTTCGTGCAGTGGGACCACCCACCTTAGAGATCTGCCCCAATGGCTTGGCAAAAATATCCTTCTAGTCTCCAAATTTAGTTGACTTAATTTGCCTACTTGGGAAAATCTGTTACAGTCCATTTCTACAGTAGAAGGTCAATGGTATGAAGAGCTACAACATTTAATGGCTGGCATGGCTTAGGCACCAAATCGGATTTGAACCTGACCAGCCAGAATGGATGCCAACTGCTGATTCGGACTTGGGTGGATCAGCAGAATAGACCAGTGGTGGGCATCAGTTCCTATTTTGACTTGTTTTAATTCTGCAAAGGCATAAATCCTGCTTCTGTTTAATCAAAGACATTGCTATATGTGGCCACCAGAAATTACAGCATGGGCTAAATTATACCAAAAGGCATCGGCTTTTATTTTCAAATAGTTCACAACCTAGTACTTGTGCACCAGAGAAAGAATTAAAGGCAAAATTTTTCTTGTTCTCTATGTTACACAATCCTTGATTCCTACATAAGATTCTTCCTCCCCTACACTAAGAATAGAAAAGACAAGGAAGGTCTCAGGCTTATTTGTAGATGTTGAGAAGAAGAAAGAGAGATCACTCTAAAGAACAAATGGCTCATATTGCATCACCCGAAGCCTTCTATCAGCTCTCCATTCTGTTGGTGTCCATGCAGCGTAAGGTAAGAGCAATTCACTTTGTGTGAATGTTCACGAACAGGAGGTGCTGCAGGAGAGTGAATGTAAACACTTGTTGGAAGATGAAGAGTGAGGAAAAACCCTCTACTTGGTTTCTAAGAAATGCAAGGTAGATAAGGTCCTTCCCGTGTCTTTCTATCAAACTGATGCAAAATAAGGTTTCATATAAAGGGAAACTTAGGTTTCTATCATCAACATGAAGAGAAATAACCTTAATTCAAATCTGGACATTATTAAGAGTAATTGCAAAGAACAGCTGTAGCTTCCCAGCAAAATCTTTGGCTCACAAGATATTATACAAAATAAACATCACCCACGATCTGTGTGACAGAAAGATTTAGCAGTCTTTATTTTCTACTGAATGGGGAATCCATAATTGCAGAGCACTACAATATGGGAAAAACTCAATCCCATTTAACTATTCCTCTTTGGCATTCTGCAGAAGCCAGTGACAGTCTCACTACATAGAAAATGTGTATTTAATTAAGTTTTCCTTGCTAGAAAATGATAAGGGTATTGCTGTCAAAGCACAATGAACAATGCTTCTCAATCAACAAAAAAGAAAAAATGAATTTTATAATTCTTAGGTATGATTTGTTCCTCCATATAGGATGTTAACTTCTCAGTGAGGGTCAAAATTATAATCAACTCAGAAGAAATAAAAGCCATTAATTTGTGCTCCAAATGGCTTTTTAGAAATACACCTATGCAAATATATCCAAGGTCAACTCACTTTTGCTTTTAATCCTTAGGTCATATGCATGAATCAGAGATAGAAAATAACAGAACCTAAAATGTACTAACTGAGCCCGGAGGAAATTTCAATGCCTATGGTATATGCAGCAAGCAGCCATCTCCATAACGCACAGAGAGGAAAACTATTCTCTTGCTTTAATGTAAGCAAAGATATTAGTCATCGTTGCAATTATCAGGTGCAGCTTTGAACACAATCCCGAGTGCTGTTGCCAACAGAAGCATCTCCATCTGTTCCAAAATTGTTTAAAATTTACAACATCATGTTTGAAGAAGGATGGTTCACTCAAACTTCAAGAACAGAGGAAGAGGAGCCGTAATTTTAAGAGATGACATTGTCTATTATTTGCACAGATAAATGAGTATGTAGATAGTGCTTAAATGCCACTAACTTTCTATGAACATTAGAACCAAAATAACATCACGCTGTCATATAGTTTTAAACACATTTCATTATCTTTAGTTATTTTCACTTATTTTCAATATTAGTTACATTTCAAGAAACAAGAGCCTAGTAAATTAGTCTGAATAAGAGAAGACTAGAGCATGAAATTCCAAGAATATTTAATGGGATACAAATAGTAAATCCAGAGAGTAATAAAATCTCCCCTCTTTTGGTGAAGACTCTTCGGTATTGCACAGAAAGCATCACATGTGGCTTCCCTCAGAATGCCTTATAGATCAGACTCAGTCCTTCCTTTCACAAAAATGGCACAAGCCTTGATTTTAGTTTATTATTTAATACCAATTTCTCTCTCCTGTCAGGAAATGTTCCACACCCATGGAACTGAAGATTGGCAACCTGATCTCATTCACGAGACTTTAAGGGGTACCGACAGATTTGCCAGTGGATTTCTACTTTCCTCATTATGACTAGAAGGACGGCTCTGAGTCTGCATTAGATGACAGCATGGGCTGGAATGCCGATGGGCTGTGTGAGACAGATGAAGAGAGAAACTTCTCAATTTGTCAAAATGCATTTTATAAATTAGGTTAACATGATTGATTATTCCAGGCCAAAATTTCTCTTGTAGCATTGAACTGAATTTCAATTATATCTCTCCTCACTTTATTGTGCCTTCATACACCTCTTTCATGTCTGGATACTAACCTCTGGAGAAATATGAGGTAATTTAAAAATAAAATTGGACTTATGCCTTCACAAAATAGAAACTATTTTGTGTACCTAAGGTGAGTTTGGTTGTAATTTTTTTTTCTTAAAGGGAGAATCCAAAATTATATAGTTTTCTTCCTGCTCCACCCTACCCCAATACATATCTTCTTGTAAATTTTGCCTTTATTTTTCTATATAGGGGCAGATTAAAATATTGTGGGGCCTAAAAATTATATAATTTTGGATTTCTCCTTAAAAAGACTATAAAATTATGAATACTGAGTTGTCATAAATGGTCTATTGATTTTGAATGAGAAAAGCAATCATAACCAGTTGCAAATTTCTAAAAGCTGAAATTCTACAAACATCATATAATCCATAAGAAAATATACTTTTGCTTTGTTAGTTAAAAGATGTCTATGCTTTCCCCCCAGTTTTTTGCAGGCAAAGTTTTTGATGCTTTCTAATATGGTAATGGTTTTATAACATTTTCTATAGAGAGGAAGGAAATTCAGGGTTTTTTTTCTAGCTTCCCTGATAGAGAAAATCCTGCTGTAACAGATAGTTCTGAAAAGTTTCTGCTTTGCAGGTGTCCCTGGTGATGTTAGAGACCACTACCATTCTCATCGGACCTGGGGCCACCCAGCGGTCTCTTTCAGGGCTGAGGTGAGGGACAGAGTTTTCCAGTAACAGTTTCACCCATCCCATGCAAACACAGCTTCTCTCCCAGTAGCCCCATCCTCCCTCCCAGGGCCATGGTTACACACCTGGGTTTATTTCCATGCAGAGTATAGTCATATTTAAGTCAACAGATGACCTTCCCCCAAACCAAAGGAATACCACACAGACTACTTGTGCCTCTCTCACAGGTGGGGACACCTACGCATACCCTCCCCATGCACTGGACCAACTCAGCTCGGCCTCTCTGCACTCATCTGGCACTCACTTGTCACTGGCCGGTTGCTGTCACCCTTCACTTTATTTTGGGCCTTGCTACGTTCATCCCATGACTGTCTTCCTTGCTATGGCCATGTCTCAGGAAGTCTCACTGTTGTTAATGTCCTAAAGCCTTTTCCCTGTCTTTCTTCTCTTCTCCAATACACCCTGAACTACTGAGGATGATGAAATTTCCCCAAACCTTAGCTCAGCTTTTGTTCAGAAACCTTCAGGTGGATTTTTCTACAAGAAGTAAAGTTACCAGCCTTTGAAGTCATTTGTAAACCTGTATTATTTTCCTGCCCTGCAGTATTTCCACTGTTCCCTTAAATGAAATTTGTTTCACTAAATTATTCTCCCAGATTTGTTAGATTTGCTTTAAAACACTCCTCTACTTTCACCATGGAAACCCTTTGCATGACACAATTTCTCTCCTTTTTTTTCCCTTCTCAAAGTTATACCTATTATCAGTCTTCTGTGGTTATTCTCTTTACTCTCTTAGAGATTTTCTGAAATACCCATAGCCATCAGTGATAACTCCCTGTACTGGAGCATGCACAGTCTCTATTTGTCCCAGTCTATGCTATGTCCGATTGTCATTCATTTAATATTCATACAAAATGTGTATGTTAGTGTGCCTCTGTATAACATATTTCCAAAAATATTGTGAGTTTCATCCAAATACAATCACCAGGTACTTTATTTAGAACTGCAAGGATATTCAAGGACATTCAAGAAAGGCTTTCTGCCTTTAGCATGTATAAAATCTTGTAAAAGGGAGAAGAGAAGAGCATTATGACCTCTGATAAAGCAAGTCAAGCTCTGTAGAGCAAGGATGTGTCCTGTTGGTTATGGACTAACTCTGTCTCCCACTAGGTGGCGTGCTTTTAAAACATCCTCTTAACCAAGGTCCCTAACCATAACATCTATCAACGCGTTTCCAGAGGTAATGAATTCTCTGTGGTTGGAGGTTTTCATCAAGGAGCTGGGAGATGTCCTAAATATTACCAAAAGAGTTCCAACACTGACTAGTGGTCTGGATGGGAGTATGCAGATATATATATATGATACTATGTAAGGTATTTTATGGTCCTTTCTTGAGCGAAGCACAATATACCCAAGACACCAAGATTCAGAGGCTGTAGAGACAGAAATGTGGGTACATGCTCAACTCCAAGTTTCAGTTTCCCCATCTATTAAAAGAGTACAATCAATAAGGAATTAATGGTATCGTCGTGAGATTAACTGAATTAACATGCAGTGACTGGAATCTTGCAGGTATTCAAAAGTTTTACTGTATTTTCTTTTAATATACTATACACTGGTAGTTCTGATAAGATTTTATTTGTTTTTGTATTTTTTTTTTTTTGGTACCGGGGATCAAACTCAGGTCCTTGTGCTTGCACAACAGGCAGCGAAACCACTGAGCTAAATCCCCGGCCCGATAAGATTTTAATATTTTGTTCTGTGGGAGTTCAATCACAATGGATCTATAGCATGTAAATGTATTCTTTTTAGCAGAAGGTCAGTGAAAAGAATTTTTAAAATATTTAAAGTCTAGGTTAGGGTATGTAACAAACTAAAATTCACATCTTTTTTTTCAGACTCAGCTAACACTAACAATAGTTTTAAAACAGCAGTCTCCATTACTGTAAGCTGTTTCTTGCCAGGCTGGTGGCAAGGAGTGGATGTGAATACCTAGGTGCCTTCTATATGGTCAGAAACTTAATGCTGCAACTCCCCAGGAGAGAAAGAAGTCTGAAGAGTGGAATGACTCATGGTGTGATTTATAATACAGGAACCTTTCCTGAGAAATTTATCTGAGAGTTAAGAACTCCTTTGAGATTTTCCCCATCCACTCAGCATGGTGCTATTATTCTGTTATTGAGACACTTAAACTTTTGTTTTTCTTACCCCATACAGAGGAATCAATAGTCTAAAAGTAGAGCAGAAAGTAGCAGCTCTTGAGTGTAATCTGGGTTTGGTACTAAATACTTCAAAGATTGTGGCCAGCAGTTTACCTGCCAGGTATTAAACTTCGTATGCACTCACTGAATTGTTTTTTGGAATAGAAAAATTAAAATATGATACATGACAAGTTTTAATAAAATATGAGTTCTGCAAAAGATTATCTGTACACTTTTTCTATTTCCAATAGTACGTTACTGTAGAGAAAGTTGAGGACATTTTCCAAGTTCATACTATTTTCTCCTCTCTGGAAAGCAGTGTCTCCCCTTACTATCCTTGGAGTTGGACATTAACAACCACTTTTATATTGTGTGAACTCACTCCCTCTCCTTGCCTTAGTGGCAGATCCTAGAGTACATCCTGGATGTAATGTTCAAAGTCTTCCCCCTATAGTTAGAGGTGACTAATGCCAGACACTGGATACCTGGTTGAATATGAATCTCCTACCTGGAGCTCTGGATTAGGACCGGGGCAGCCAGCCACACAGTATCTGCTGGTGACTAGAACTGGACATGCAGATGGCTGCTCTAAGGGGGAAATATTTTACTATGTATTTAGTCACACAGATCAGAGAAGCCAAAATATCCAATCTGTAGATAAAACTGGAATAAAACACATAATCCAAGGAAAGAGATATGAGATGTGGGAGAGATTCACAATTGTTTTCTAGTCCTTGGCCAGGACCTTTCTTAAGGTCTGATGGCATTGCTATTATTGGATTTTATGAACCTACATCCATATGGCTTCAGTGCCAGTCATTTTTATTTCACTAAAAGCGGCTCAAAGTGCTTCTGCTATTTATAATCAATAATGCCTAATTAACTCAGAAAATGTAGGTAAAGATCTATGGCCTTAATAGTCCATAGTTTAGGAATATTAAAGAATATTGTACAGTATATGATGAAACTTTATATGTTACCTTTTATTGAATGTCTACAGTATTCTAGGTACTTATACATGCTAATGTTATGTGTTTAGGCATATTTATTTCTAACACTTAATATGCTCTTCAGATGCTGAAATGATTATTCTATTGTAGAAAAAAAATCTAATCCTCAAAGTGTTTAGAAAGTAAGACACTAACAACACAGGTGGAATTCTGACCTTGGATTGCTACTGTCTGTGTCAGAAATTCACATCCTGCCAGGCTAGCAGTGCTGCAGACTTCCCTGTGACCAGAGCCTCCATTCAGTTTTAGTAAATGTGCTGCCGAAGTGAGCACAGACTCCTCTGTTGAGTAGCATCTCAAACTGAGCTTTCAACTTCTCCGTGGAACACTCTTCATGACAATAAGCGGCCCTTCAGTTTAACCCAGGTGTTCAGTCTAAAAACCCTCCTGTCATGAAACTTCCCCCAGAGCCACCTTTTGCTGTACTCTCTCTCACACATCTCACAGCTACCAGGTCTTAGTTACTTTTTTCGTTGCTAAGACAAAATACCCAACATCCAAAGTTAACGGAGGAAAGATTTATTTGGCTCACAGTTTATAGCAGTTTCAGTCCGTAATCAGCTGGATCCAAGGTAGGGAGGCATGGCAGGGAGGCATGGCAAAGGAGAAACAGTCCATGGCAGGCAGGTAGGTGAGAGCATAATAGCCTCTTTCTGTCCCTCATATTTTATGCAAGCTATCCTAGGGCGGGTGTAGCACTCACACCTTTAATCCTAGCCGGAACCATGCCAAACCAATCAGTGGACTGATTTAGTAATCACACCCTTGATCCCAGCACCACACACTCTAGATCCAGCCCCTCCGACTCCGCCCCCCTCCGCCTTGACTGCATGAGGCTTTGGCAGGACATCTGGACACAGCTGTAACTTAACCATCACCAAAGCCTGACCGATCATCCCTCAGAGCACTTAAGAGCCTGGCTAGCCACTTCTTACCCTGCTCAGCCATCATTCAGTTAGTAGAGGACAATGAAATTAGTTGGCTGCCTGTTTCTGCTGTGCCCACTTCCATTCTCACAGTCTATTCTCCACGAGGTAGGCAAAGCAAGCCTGCTACAATATGAGCCTGACCATGGCACTTTTCTGCTCAAATCCTGCGCTAAGCACTGTGAGTTAACCCGGTCCTTGGAACTTATTCACCACCTCTCCTCACTCATTCTGCTCCAGCTCTAGTCTCCTGTTTGCTGACCCCAAATATTTAAAGTGGTTTCCATTTCAGGCATTTCTAATTGGTGTTTCCTCTATTAGTGATGTTGTTTACAGAAGCAGCTGTTCAGCCTGGACTCTACTTCACTAGGCATTTACTGTCCTGACAGCTCCCACTTCAGACAGAGTCCAAGCCTGCTCAACTCCCTCCATCTCAGTCCTCAGCACCTGAATGCATGCTTCATTTATGTATGTTTTCTGTTTCCTCCTGCCAAGACTTAAGCCTACAAAAACCCACATTTGATCTGATATCTACACAATCAGTCTCCAGGACCTCGGAACAGAGCCAAGACACAGGGTCCATGTAACTGAGTGAATGAATAAGAAAGACTAAATACTTTAAAATGTGAATTAAAAAGTTCAGATTACATGACTTTAAGATTTTCTTTTTTCTAAGAAACATCCCTTTTGTTAGATTTCTGAATTAAGAATATAACCTTTTCACCCATGTTTGCGTAACACTTTTATGCTTTTGTGGTTAACTCTTATTTATGTTGTATTCCAGTGATTTGTTCACTAAAATTCTGTATTGTCAATCTTTTTGTCTTTCAAACTTCCATATATGTCATATAAATTATTTGATTAATAACAATGTTGACTTCTGTTACCCAAAACATTTTTCTCATTTTTAATTTTTATAAAAATGTTCTGTTTAAACTTGTACTTGGAGGACAAATACAAGTATTGCCCATAAGGTCAGTGGAGTCAAAAGAGTCCTCAGAGATTATAAATAGCCCACCTTCCTTTTGTTGATTTTTAATTCATTCATTTGACAAGTATTTATTTTGCAAATATGTCTCAGGCAAGAGGGGGCAGAGCCAGTGCTAGTTCCACTTATTTACAGGACAGAGTAAATTTTCTGCTTGAAATTATAATATTGTTTAAAGATTTAATATCTATGCCTGATATATAAAAGATACTGAATAGACACATTTCATCTGTGCCAGTAGCAGTGCAGTTTTGTAGTTAATTTTTCTTCACTCTTGCAGATTTCAGCAAATATTTCATGTTCCAGCAATAACAAGATCTCTAAAAACTAACATATACTGAGCACTGATATACTCTCAGTGGCTGTCAATTATGTTCACTTTTTATTAGGATTAAGTTTTGATTGGTTATTAGCCAGGCCATAAAACCTTTATGTTTGACTGTCCAGCATGACAGCATCTGACCTTGAGGAGCTTGTATTTATGGAGCAATAATCCACAGAGGACATTTAAGAAGACAGTGTGTTGTCAGTGGTTGATTGAAACAACACTTGGATCAGGAAATGGATACCGAATATTGACGTGGATAAAGGCAGAATAAGCCTCTCTTTAGGAAGATGATCTGGCTTACATCAATTTGATTTAGCATTTACAGTGGATTTACGATGATTACACGATCACATAAAGTAAAAGAAAACTCCCTTTTCAAGTTTCAGAGTCTGGTAAGAGAAATGGACACAAGGACTGGAATATTGTCCCTAGTGTAATACTGACCACCTAAAGTAAGGATCCAAGGGTGTTTGGACATATAATATGAATAAAGATTCCCTGGATGGGAAATGGGGGATACTTGGAGATGCTACATTTCTTCTGCTCATTCTAGACTTCTCAGTTCTGTGCTTATCCCATATCTTTCAAACAATAAAATAGTAAGTGTGACAGAGCAGTTATCCGGCCTGACATCATTACTAAAGTTTACATTTGTCATATGTTTCTGAGATTTATTCTCATCTTTGTCATGTCTTGGGAGATTTTTCAGAATATATGAAAATCACATTATGTTTATAATCATTTCTAATGTGAACCCTTCTAAATATAAGAAAACCTCAGGACAGACTGACATGAAAAAGGGAGCTATCAAAGTGGCATAAATAACAATGGCACCTGCAGTGAAAGCTTCCCTTAAAAGTTCTCGCATTAAAAAAAAATGTTCTCCTATAAACTTGCTGCTTGAATTCTGCTACAAATGACATTTGTTTTCCACAACAAGCATTACCTCCTGTATGCATGGCACAGGAATGTTTCCGAGGATTAGTTTCATAACCAGTCAATTTACCTCTTGCTCACAACCAGTTTCTCTGGGGTACTTACGTATTCTTCATAAGCCTCGTGGGCAGGAGGTGGGGGTGCCCTGTATCCGGGCACTGTTGGTGCCCCCCGAGCTCGAGGGGTAGGGACCCCTCTCGCTATGGGGGGCACTGGCAGAGCTCCACGGGTCACAGTGGTCCCTCGAGGGGTGAGGACACCTCGTCCAGGAGGTGGGGGAGGCGGAATGGCACCCCCGCGGCCCCTAGGAGAAAGGTCACATACAGATGACATAATTGAGGAGAGAAGAGCTTCAACAGATAAGATTCTCATCACAAAGCCTTCACGCAATGGAAGAGACCCAAATTTATGCTTCTGTCTGTGTGTATGGGCTTGCGTGATTTTAGTTAGATTATTTAAAATGTAAAGTGTTTGATCTTCATAGTAAAATGTATCCTGTAAATACTATGACTTATTCTCATGGAAAGCATACAAAGTTATCACTATTTTCTATTACATAACTACAAAGCCTAAGTAAAAGAAGAATCAGAAAACAATACCCACTTTGATTATATTCCAATTTGCCAAGAACAACCAAACCAGCATGTTCACTGTTGGATAAACAAGTCACTGGACCATCTAGACAGTGGGTTCACTATGCCCGCCTTTCCATGCTGGAGCTTACTGATAGTGGCATGCTATGTTGTCACTTAGAAAACAACCAGCTGTTTGCACATTGATAAAATGTGTAACTCTCACCATGATATCATCCTGCTTAATATAGTAGCTTACATCTGAGGTCACTTGCAATCACAATTCCATTGTTACTGATTTATAGCATGCAAGTAACCCCCGAGCTGGCGCAATCACACACATAATGCATTTTCATATGGTTACTATGGAGCTAGTGAAATACATTACTATTCCACAATAAAAGGAACAGATTGAATACTCTGGATTGCAGTTCTTGACACAAAAGTAACCTGCACTAAAAGCGTGAGATCAAATGGTTGCAGACTTTTATGGTATTCTGAGGCCTTTAGAAGGGTTGAGTGTTTGTCTGAAATCTTTGGGCAAATTCATGGTTATTTCACTTTTATTATATCTGAAAGGTTGGCCTCCAGAAAGCAGTGCTTTCAGCAGGAACACTAAAGCTTTGGGAAAATGATGATTGCTAGGATGTCAACAATCTTTCGGGCTGCACCCACATATGGGACGTAGGTTATGCGTTCTGCTATGAATAGCAGCCAGCTGGCTCTTTCTTGCTTGCAGAAAATGAACTTTTAGAAGTGAGGAGAAAGAATGCTGATAAAGCTTTTAGAATTTTTAAATAGATTATAGAGGTGCAGAATAGAAACTTTATCAGAGAACAGAGTGAGCTAATTTATGTAGAACAGTTTCCTAGACTTGAAGATACAGAAGAACCAGAAATCCAACACTGCTTCCTGTGCAAGAGCTCAGAATAAAGTGTTCTACACTAACATAATAGTGCGACGCAGATCTGCAAGAAGGATGTAAATACCAACTTCACCTACACTGGGTCTCCCAGCACCTATCTCTGTTCTCAAAAGCAAGACAAACAAGCAGCCGGCTTCTGCAATTCTGTCCTAACTGCCTGCTCAGTTTGGCATTTGAATACTCAGAAGTATCCAGGTTTTGGTAACATATAAGTCAATTAAAACATGGTTATACAAGTGAATAATTTAGTAAATATTTTAATTACCTAGGCCTGGAGTATATTTTTCTGATGGGTGAAATGCAGATTTCTGAATGCATAACAGTTCTTTCCACTGTAAATTTACATGAGGTTCATATCAAGTCTAATTTTTCATTTCATTCCTTCATCATCTGACACCCAGCCCAGCCCCAGGGACCTTTCTTCTGAGTCTTCTCCTGCACACCGCGTCCTTCCCAGGAACACTGACCCCGGGCTTGCTCCGGTTCAAGATTCACATCGCATAATTTAGAATGCTGTCTGGGGCTAAATCTGTATATTTAGAATTCTTTCCTTTATTTTTCTGACTTCTTCAAAGAACATTTTCTGTGCTAAGTCTTTGCCTTCTGTTCAGGCTTGAACCCGGAGTAATCAACCTGGTTCTTGCTTTCACCCCTGAGTGGAAACTGAGATCGCCCAGGTCCCTGTCTGCCTGCTTGCAACTCTCATCTGAAAGCAGCCTGTTTGGACTTTTATGGTTTTCCCCACACCTCCTCCTTCCTCTTTCTTATTCCTCAGTTCACTTCACTAGCTTCTATTCTTGGGATCCCTTTGGAATATGGGTGTTTCCAAGTTCTGTCTTTGATTTTCTTCCCTTCTCTGATGGATAACCCTGCAGTCTATCATTCTGACACTGGCTTTCACTCCATAACCACATGCTGTGCCCTGCCTTAGGCTTGTGGCATCAAAAAGTTCTATAACTTGCCTGAATATTAGAGTTACTTGAGGATCTTTTTAAAATTCCAAATTCCAGGCCATCCAATGACCTTAGCCTCTGGAAGCAGGAAGCCTCCTGACTCTAGAGTGCAGGCGAACTTGAAAACGACCAGCCTGCATGCATTTCTTAATTTAAATCTCTTGACAAGCTGGTCATGCAGCAGTTCTCAGTTACTATAGAAGTTGTAAAACAAGGTACACAGAGTACATGTCATATGTCCCAGGTGGCACAAGCAATACATAGAGCTTGGATAAATTGTAAGAATAATTATATTCTTCATTCAACTAGATCCTTCACCTAACCTTAGTTGATAATGACATCAGTCACTCACTGGGCTAGACACCAGAGCTACTTTTGTCTTGAGCCGCCTTCTTCTCCAACATCTAATTGGCAGTAATTGCTGTAAGTTTTAACTTCTAATCGGGCTCCCCTCTATACTCAAGGGCTGCTCATTTTGTGAGTCTTGGGTAATGGAGTTGTTTTTCACTGGCTTTTGTGCCATGAGCCAGTTTCTCTCTGTCCCTCTGCCTCTCTCCCAACTGCTCTAATTCTCATCACTCTGTTTCAGAAACAAACACTTACTCCTCACTTAAACTTCATCACTTCTGCGTTTTATTTCTCACTGTAGTAAACAAAAGCCTTTAAAAACTGCCCCTAATACTTCACTCTCCACTGCTTCCTCTCCCTGAGATCTGTAGTGATGATGTGTGTTAAAGGCATCTAATGTTTTCATTCTTCAATTATGTAAAATAAACTATCATTATAATTTGTAGATGTAATGCTTTGTTTGATTTGCATTATTATTGGAAGATTAGATAGTTATGAGAGGTATGTTTCCTGGGATGTAAATTACTTTAATTAAATATATTGTTAACACATTATTGAAGTTTTAGAATACTGTAGGTATCATTTTTGAATGAAATATGACTGAATAAATAGAATAATAGTTTCATAAATATGTACAAATTAGCATCCATTGATTCATATTTTCCAAAGGTTTCTCATCAATATGATTTTGTTTTATGAAGCTATTTATTTATTCATTTCTATTTGTAGATACATTTTACCATGTTGTTTGAATTAGAAGACAACAGAGGTCTGCTCAATTTAGTTTCATTAATGCTACTGTAACTACTGATACCAATACAGAATTGAAAGTGAGGTTTAATCTTTAATGTTAACTTTCTTTTCTTTTTATCTGATCTTTATAATATATGGGATATTAAAAAACAAAAGATTTCAATCAAAATTTTCATCTAAAAGGATATTTGAAAAATCTAAATAATGCACTGTTCTTTAACCAATTATTAAACAAATTAAAATTTTTGAATAAAGCTCTACTGAAATTAAAATTTTATATAGGCCACAAAATTTTGATTATATTAAAGAATATATGAAACAAAAATCTATGATTGTATCTATAGGATGATTTTAAATAGCGAAACAAGTAAATACAGTATCTTTTAAAGGATTCCAATTTCAAGGAATACAGAAGAAATGTGGGCTTGCTTTAGGCATCCTAAATATACAGTTACGTTACATGATGTTGAGCTCCTAAAATTGGCATTTCTGAGCTACAGAAGGGGCCATTTCCTATGGTTTATTTCACATGATTAAATTCCTTTAAGATGGCTTGTGATGACATCATTTCACAATCTATCAAAATGAGCTTTTATAGAACTGGTCAGGTCTCATATAAAAGTATTACATCATATGACATTAATTCTTACCAATAAAGAAAGGATGCTAGATACCATCACAGAACTCTATTTTTAATTTTCAGAAATAAAAATATAAAAATAAAGCTCTAGAATACTTTTAGCAGTTCTTACTTTAGTTAAATCTAATTTCTAGAATTGCCACACTTTATACAGTTAGTTTTATCTTTGATATCTTACCTGGAAATTAATTATTCTGAACCTATCTCTGACAATTGTGGAACTTTCTAAAATATTTATGATTTAACTGTTGAAATTAGTGATATTTTGATAGTGGTGGCTGAAAATATTTGGGCTATAACTTGAGATATAAATTAAATCTGCAGAGTGTCTTAGTTTCTCGAGATAATTTCTATCCCATATGTGAAATGTTACGCTAGATCTGCATCCTTTAGAGATGCAAAGGCCAACAGTAATACAGAACAAGTGAGTCAACATTCTGTCTGAAGGCTATGAATGTTATTTATTTTGTTCTAACTTTTTGCAAACCGATGCTTTCTTTTGAAAGCTGGACAAATTCATAATCCTACAAAACAAATTCTAACAGAGAAAGGTTCCAATGTAGCTTCAAAGTGAACGAAATCAAATAAGATTCACTCTGACCACTGAGGGTCAAATGCATCTGCACTCTATATACCTTTGCTATCTGAAGTGTAGGAAGTGCACCAGTTTTCTCAGCTGGTGATGTGTATCTTACTTACATCTGTTTATCTGCCTCCACCTTCGCAGAGTATAAATATGTTCAAAGGAATTTTCGGACATAGGTAACATGGATAGTTTTCCCTTCCTGCAGGTTCCTGGTGGAAGGAGAGGAACATTTGTGTATCTATTTATCCTAACCCTGGGGATGAACAGGAGAGTGGAGTCTCAGGCCCACTTCCTCACTTTGGAAGGCTGGTTGCTAAGAACTCAGATTGGGGATTCCAGAGTCAGGCTGCCTGTATGATCTTAATGAAAATCCCATACACCTCTTGTACCTAAGTTTCTCTCTCATAAATGGTAGTTACTCCTAGTAAAGCACGTGGAGAGTTTATATAGGTGAACCTGTTATGTGCTGCGAGGGATTCATTGTCATTGTTTCAGGTGTGGCGGTGGCCTTGTGGCTGATGCTTTGATTCCTAGTTGTGATCCTGACATATAGCAGGACAGCAGATGCCCATCATCGCCCTTTGCTGCTGATTCCTTTAAAGTGGGAACCAAGGTACCTTGAAGGAGCTGTGGGAGCTATTCTGATCCCTCTGCCTCTGATCCCTCTACCACGACCAGAGTCCTCCGAGCCATTCAAGTAAGACAATTCACGTAGCTGCTCCTGACGAATTTCATCATTGTAGTCCTAGAAGAAAAAAATGATCCGAGGAGTTAAAAAGGGACATGAAGTTCTTAGAGGTAAAAACAAAAACCTTACATAATAAGAAAATAAATTTTTCATTTTTGCATCTTGTGTGAAAAAATTCAGCTGATACACACAAGAAGGTATATATACTTTGAATTTCTACATATAGAGAAATTGACATTGTTTCTTTCATCAAGGAAATACTCTATAGTCATCAGATTAGATTTTCTGAAGTATCACTTAAGGTGTTAGCTAAAAAGGGAAGGTCACAAAATAGAACAAGAATTTGGAATGCCCTTTGGTCACGGGGATTATTAGCAAATAACATCATTTGGATGAATACATGTAGATTATGAATGAATGTAGGATTTTCAAATAGCTCCCTATGCATAAACCAAAAAGGGAAAATTTCAAGGCCCAATGCTGATGCTGAGCATGTATTAAAATTATAAAAATGTATAATAATATCACCCAACTTCAGGCAAGTGGGAAACTAGGATCCTGCCAAAGAGCCCATCACGCAGCACTTACAAACAAGGGTTCTGTGTGTGTTTCAGAATGGGGCTCATGGAACTGGATAGCAACAGCAGAAAGGAAATTTCTTAATAACAACCAGCAATTCAGTCACAATTGAAGAGGCTGTCTTCACACTTCATCAGTGTAGAGCTACGTGAGTCATTTTAACTGTGCCAAAGAGAGGCTCTGAGTCATTACAAATGAAGGCTACCTTTAACAGAGAATGGGCCGGGGATGTAGCTCAGAGGCACTGCACTAGGTATTGAGTTTGATTCCTGGTACCGAAAACAAAAACTAAGAAAAAGTGCCAGTCATGTCTGTTTCTCCTTTTGCACACACACACACATGCACACACACACACACACACACACACACACTTCCTTGGTATAACATTACAAAATTGAGTTGCTATTTGTTTTAATAGTAATCTGATCTATTATTCCTCTTTAAACCTATGTTTAACTGAAATCAGTCCAGGAGATTTTCTAACGGTGGCCAGAGGTCAAGGAATTGAGAGTAGAAATATTTGCAGAGGGTAGGCCTACCGAATGTTATTTGAAGCCAAGTTGAGGATGAAAAGTCATGTATCATCTACCATGAGCAAGGCCCATTTAGTTCCACAGGTACCGCATGGATATATCACAGTAGTAAAATGAAGATCATGCACAAACACACGTTCCTCCTTGGAAACTGGTGGGGATACGTCCACTTGCAAAAATTTCTTTTTTTTTTCTTTTTTTTTGGTACCAGGGATTGAACTCGGGTCCTTGGGCTTGCGCAGCAGGCAGTGAAACCACTGAGCTAAATCCCCAGCCCCCACCTGCAAAAATTTCTAATGTTAACTTTGTGCTGCAGAAATGCCCTTGATCATAAGCACAACTGAGCATCACTCCAAAGCAGTCATTTTCTTCTATTTAACCTGTTGCTTTCATGTTTATCCTCTTCAGCACCTGATTATAGTGATAATAGGCTCAACACGGCTGACAAAAGAGACATTAGAAATTATAATTCCTAACGAGTCATGTATTATTCAATTTCTACCTCCTAATTTTCACATTCAAGCCGCAACTACACTGAAGAGTTAACATATATATTATTTCATTGGGATCAGGAATGTAACAAATTGCTACTACTGAGTGAATTGACTAGCTGCCATCATCAACAGAAACATCAATCCCATAAATCTCATATAATATTACTGACTTTAAAGGAAGTATTTGCAGCTTCTTCTCTGAGGAATACACTTATTCACTCAGTTCTTAAGAATTATAAAAAGAAACAGATTGACAGTGTTGGTAATGATGAAGCCGTGAGAAAGTTAAACAAATTGCATATGCATTCATTGCATATTAAAATGTAATTTAAGGTATAAATATTTTATACCTGAAGTAGAAAGTATTAGGGTGGAGAGGCAGTCTCCTTCATTATATAATCATAAAACAGATGAAAGACGAAGAAAAATAAAAAGAAGAAGATAGGAAGGAGAGGAGGAAGAGAATAGAAAGAGCAATGTACTAAGGGGATGGGGTGAAACAGTGATTCCCAGTTGGTTTAGGGCTTCCTGCTTCCATACAGCTCCCACTACACAGACTCTGGACTGGCCATGTGATTTGTCTTAGCTCACAAGATAATTAAAAGAAAAATGACAAAGAAGAGCCTGGAAAAGTGCTTGCATATAGGTATTTGTGCTTTCTTGTCACCAGGTGAAGAAGTCCAAGCTAGCTTCATGGACTAAAGAGATCATGTGAGAGGGACTGTGGTCACCTGGCCCTCCCTACCACTGCATCTGAGTCCCCACACAGGGGAGTGAGGACATTCTAGGCCATCCTGTCCCAGTCTAGATACTAGAGACAGAAAAATCACCTAGTAAACTCCAGAACCAGGAGAAGTCAATAAAATGGGTGCTCCAAGCCACTATGTGTGGTGGTAGTTTGTTTTGAGCAAAATCTACCAAACTCAGAGGGAAACAGAGAAGTCAGCGTGCAGCAGGAGACACACACTGCAGATGCAAAGTTGATCAGTCTGTCCCCACCCTGTACAGAAGGGGCACACATGGTGCTTGTGTTCCCTGGAACACGTGCAGCTGTAGTGGGAAGTCAACATAAGTGAATACCATAGCCTAGGATCATAACATTGAGTTGTCCATTGAATCTCTTTGTTCCATGCTTGCCAACACAACTGCACTGGAATTCACCTCCTAGATTGCAATCTGTCAGCATGGAGAGATTCTGTCACTCTTATTCATACGAATATTTGACACTGAATATTGTTACTCTTTGATATAAGCAAAATCACTACTGTTAATAATCAAATTTCTTACCAGCTTAGCAGAAAACACTCTGCTTTAATGAATTATCTTCCAAACTATGGTGGTCAAAACAATGTAGATTAGCACTGCAGGTTCAAATGACCGAAAAACTCAATTGTTTGCTCTGAAATCTTAGTGCTCCCAAGACCATGCTGCCCAAGAACTTCTCTTGGCTGACAACCAAAAGTGTTTGGGTGCCAAAATAGGTCCTTTCCCAGAAACATGGCCTGCTGTATACTTCACAGCTCTGTTATGGCCCTGCTGAATCACCTTTTAACTGCACTGTGTGTCCTACAGGGTCCCACCTCTTTCCGTTGGGCTGACACTGAAGTGGGAGGGCTCTCGGGCCTTCCTTCACTCCCTCAATCTTTGTCCCAAGAACATTTTCCTCTACACCCATTTTGGCATCTGCTCTTGGGAAGCCTCAAATTAACAAAGAGAGTGGTGACAAAATCAATTTCCCATGATCAAAAAGCTGAGGGCTTTGGTAAACCCATTCATGCTCATGCTGGTGGGCCCTGTTCCAGGCAGCACACCTCATACTATGATTAAATTGGTCCACTTGCCACATTCTACTGAAAGTGGTTTTTAGATAGGCTGAGTATTAAACCGATTACCAAAAGAAATAATCCGTATTTCTAAGAAAAAAAGTGTAAGTTGCCCAACTATTTTCCAACTCTTCACTTAATAATATTAAGGACTAGTGAAGGTGGGCAGACACACAGCATATTTTGAGGTGGGGATGAGGATAGTCTGGTGGGCACAGGGGACAGTGGCAATGATGCAAAAGCTAATGTCTGCACATCTGCGATGTGTAGGAAAGACCCGGTGTACTAGGAAGTGTCCTGAATTTTAATTGTATTTTCTCTGTAATGTCCAAAAACTTTTCTATTTTGCAACTAAAATAATTTTTTCAGATTTATTATGTGACATATCAACAAATCTATCCATTATATTCTTTGTACGTTCCTTTTACCCAGGGAAAAATAACTTTACTGCGGGAAACAATCTCTATGAAATTCATGCCTCTTTCCTTTTTTCCGCCCTGACCAAGCCCTCCTTCTGTGATGGCATGCGATATAAATGGTGCACACACAGCTCAGAGCACACAGGTGTTTGGACATTCCTAGAAAGAACTTACGCTCACAGTTTGCATGATTAATGTATATGCATAATTTCTCGGTTGCTTACACTCCTGTCCATCTGCTACGCTGGCGTTTTGCCCAAATACAAATTGGGAAGATTATTTCACATGCATGTGGATGCCAGCTAATGACAGGTCCAGACAGGGTACCTGGGAGCACAGCGAGAGAGTTTTCTTGCCAGTTCCCTTCTGCTGAGACTCTAGGGCCACTGGGGCCACATATTTAAAGCTGTGATTGAAGTACTGGTAATGAGAGACTCAGCTTTGCCAATACCAGCATGGCTGGACGACATCAGAGAAAAATGAAATACAGTGTGCAATCCTCCTGAGACATGACAAAGATGCCTCAATCCCTACAGTTAGGTTAGGGCACCTTAACCAGAGTAATAAACCAGAAAGTCTCCAGCCTGTGCCAGCACCTGACTGGTAACTGAGTTGGAGTGGGTAGGAAAAGGGAACTGCTTCAGAATATAGCTAGTGCTGTACTAGGTAGTACTAAGTACTAGGGGAGAACTTAGCAGAGCAGTTTAGGCTCAGAGCCAAGAGAGGGTTAAATAGCCAAGACTCAGGACCAGAAGAAGTATCATGAACAAAATGTGGTTAATGAAGACTCAATTAAGATTTATTTTTTTTTCCCATTAAGTTTATTGGTACATTTTCGGTATAAAATACAGTTACATTCATCATTGGGATCTTGTACCTTTACATGAGTATCTTGGTT